AAGAGGCTAGAGATGCCTCGGGAGCAGAGCTCTCCAGGGATAGTAAAGATCTCACCTCCAAGGCAGCATAAAATGTTTAGGGACGAATTATGGCTTTCATAATCTTGCACACACACACACGCACATTTTTTTTATACATATATGCATATATATACACACACACACACACAATTAAAGTGGGGTAAAAAAGCAGAATGAATAAAACAGAAAACCCATAGGCAGAACATTAGGGATCGCCAGATGTTTTGTTGGTGGCAATGGCTTCAGCGATTACCTTGCCAGAGAAGATGACAACCAGCTATTTGGCTACTTTTTGTCTGCAGAGATGCTGTTTTGAGAGAGGTCAAGAGCAAAAGAGAAGTGGAGCTGGCAGCTCTTTCTCTGGGAGCTGGTCTTCCCACTAACTGCCCTTCCATTTCCTCTGTGCCAACAGCAACAAGAGCCGTCAGATCAACTTTCCAGGGTTTTTGTCTTAGGTCACTGTTCCAGATTAATTGTTTTGACATTTCTGTGTGACACCACCAGTTCATTCTGCCTAAGCTTCTGAGACTCTGGTAGCTACATCTGTGCTACTGTAAGACTGTTAAACTAATAGATAAAATATTTATTTTATTCAACAACATCAATATAATCAATAATAATAATAATAATAATAATAATCAGCTTAACTATGCAACTTATTGCCACAAGATGAAGTGGATACCAAATGTTTGCATGGAATCAAAAAGGAAATAGGCACATTAATTGGAAAAAAAATCAAGTTGTATTAAATATAGAGATATTGCTTCTGTCTCAAGAATCTCCTGAGTGACAAATTGATGAAACCTGGGGAAACATATCAGGAATTATCTATATGCCTGTTTTTATCCTCTGAAGGCATCTGCTATTGACCTCTGTTAGAGACAGGTTAGTGGAGATCATTGGCCTCTGGTAAGACCATTGCACATTTTTGTTGTTAATAAATGGAGGACCCTAAATCTTCCTGATTCTGCTTCTGTTATGTACATGTGAAGCATTTCTATATGCCTCGCCTTAAAAAAAGGTTTATGAAGAAAAATTGCGGACCTAAAACTGGATAAATAAAACCAATATGGAAACTTCTATACCACAAGCCAAATATACATCAATCCTATCGCTCACACAAGGTCTTAACATTAAAAATAGCTGTTGAGTCCAAAACAAGTCTGAAAATAGCTTTTCTGGAATCCAAATTAGGGAAACTATCTAACCCCAATGAAACCCGAGAGCCCTGCGACGTGCTGGGCAGACCGGAGGTGGTACAGCCTGGAGGTCTTCCTGGAGGGAATTACCAGGAAAAATAATTTCTGGTTTTGCAAATTCCCCGTGTTGACAAAGTGGCAACTCACGCCATTCGCAGTGTTTCCCAGTGAATCCCGGCTCACAGAAGCAAGAGCCGGTGACCGGATCGCAGCTGCCGTCACTGTTATTGCAGACACACGTGTTTTCACAGCGCTGTCCCCAAAGGCCACTATTGCAGGCTGCAATGTAAAATGGTATTTACATTGAGAATCAACTTCAAGCTTGCCTAATGGATTATTTTACATCTAAATGAGAGAACAGAAAAGATGCAAAATAGCCCCTTAAGATACAGGAGCTCTGGACTAGACTCTCAGCTGCAGCATGGGGCACAAATCCACGGAAATAAATACAAGTTTTGCTGCTTTATTTCAGCTGAAAGTAGGCAGATTTTATGCCATCCACATAAAACTAATCATTCATAGTCAACCCATATCAATCAATCCAGTCACAAATGCATAATTTCACAGAAATAAAATACCAGCTATTGACTCACTCAGCACAAATAAGCATAACCAGAATAGACAATGGGTAAAACAAGACAGGTTTGTGAGCATCCTCCATATTTTCCTCAAAATACTGGGAAATGCAACATGGACAAAGACAGACAAATTTCACAGTCTTTGTTAAAGCAACTTACTGCTTTCATTCTAAAAATCACATAACACTGACATGATTACGACAATGTACCACGGCATCTCCTTCCTTTCTTGTAAGTATAAAGATTAAAGTGCCAATTAGGGCAACAGAAACCTGGTTTTGCAGTTGGGAGTCTGTTTCATGCCTGGTCTGTGATAGTTGAAGAGTTGCCTTACTGAGACATCTCTGCAAAACAACTTTTCTCATATCTTTTCCTGAACAGAAATAAAAGCTTTCCTTTGCCATGGTCTCTTAATTTTTTAGACAGCCTAGGGAGTTATGGAAAGCTATCTAAGTGGCTCTACACATTACCAACTGGTTTGATTTTTAAAATACGCATATTGGTGGAAACTTCAGATTTTCCCAGAGTTTTCTTCAGTACCGAGCCTGAGAAGCCAGGTCCAAAACTTGCTGCTGTCAACACTGGCAATTAATTTGTATGATTTTATGTGTCTAAGACCAAGTTTAGAAAGAGGTTTGTATTCTGTTGGCTTTTTGCAAGGGGGATCATAACGAATCAAGCAGAAAAGATATGAAACAGTAAAAGGAAAGAATCAAGCAGGATGGCTTAACATTTATATGGTGCTATCCAAAAAGGGCAAATTTGTACTCTTACACGGTCATCAATATGGAGAGTGATGCTAAAGTCAACAGAAGGATGGTCTGCTCTTCCAGAGAACAGAATTTCTCCCAGCATTTATATTCACAAGTTAAGGAGTGACCTTAAGACACATGACTGTACGTGCCACTCACTTGTTGAATAAATCTCCCCTAAACAAAATGAAAAATTGAGAATTAATCTTAAAACTAATCTGCGCTGAAAATGAAAAACAAAACTGTCTGTCAGTCAAAATGCTGACAGGACAGATGGTATTGGGCAAAGGGATCCATAGTGTTGAAATAAGAGCTTATAGCAATACTTTGCGCTTCATCAGCCATCTATTTCAATACTTTGAACCTAGATAATTAAGGATTATAACCACCCAGGCTGTGCAAACCCATAAACACACAATTTCAGAAGCAAAAAGATTAGCAAAAGTATATTAGAAAACTGTAATAGACTAAGAACAAACAGAGCCGTTTTTTACATTTGCAGTTAAGTCCCTGGGAGATACCGTGTGCCCTGTGGAGCGAATACACATTTGACTTATGGTGTTTGCAGTCATGGCCAGTCCAGCCAGGGGGACACACGCACTCTCCGGTGACATGGTGACACTGAGCACTGCTGCTACAGCTGCATAACAGCAGGCAATTTTGTCCATAGTAACCATCATGGCAGGCTGAAAACAGATGAACAGACTGCAATTTCACCTAGATAATAACTCAGGCACAGACTGATCTTTTTAAACAAGACAGCAACAGCTTGCCCTCTAAAACATGCATTAGTTGAATCCAGAAATCAAAATGGCAAAATGAAAGAAACATCTGTAATTTGTATACTAGGTGTCTGGGGCTGAGCCCTGTAGAGTGGGAATGGCTAGAGTGACTTTCCGGTGCTTCTCCTGCACATCAGGATCAATCAGAGGAGGAAAAAAGAGTGCTGAGCAAACCTTCGTCAAAAATGATTTTGTGACTAACAAGGAGAAAAAATATGCCACCAGTGAGGTCTTGCACGAAGCAGTGCTGTCCCTGAGAGCCTGTCTATGCCAGCACAACAGCCATACCCAAGCAGCCTTTAATACCCATAGGCTGGGTAAGGAGTCATGCCCCAGTAGCACAGACCAGTTGCTTGAGCATGTTCTCATGGTCTCTGGTGGATCTGCAGAGAGAGCACTTATACTACTCCTTCATCCTCACTACTATTTAATCCTAAATTATATACATCAAGGAGTGTTGCTGCAAACATAACCGATGAGTGGTGCCATAAGGACCAATTGGTCAGCACCTCTTGCCAAGCAACCAGAAGTACAATGCAAGTATTGTGGCTATTACACATTGTATTTCTAAGTACATATTGCCATAAATTAGGTCTAATGACAACATCAATTTAGGATGCAGTTTAGCTTGTCATCTGCATTTATCTGTAATCTCCCTCTGGCAAATCCTGTCAAATCCAACCTGGGAATTCCTGAAGCTGAAGGATAATTTATCTTGGATCAGTGTGCCTAACATAACAAGCATCTCACAAAACAGCAAGAAGGTAGAAATCAAACCATAAGCCGAATTTTCAAACTGACTTTCTTTTCATGGAGAAGGCCGATGTGAGGACTTACACATAGAGCAGGATGCCCCGGTGTAGCCAGGGGGACAGTCACAGGCTCCAGTTTCTCTGTTGCACTGTCCCCCGTTGGCGCAGGGCTCACAGGAGGACTGACAGTCTGGTCCCCACCGGCCGGCCGGGCAATCTAGGAAAAAAAGCACACGAGATGCTCCCAATGCCATTTTCTGTTTCAAGGCAATTATTCATTTCTGCTGTTACCTTGAAGAATTTAAAAATAATAGTAAAACTAAGCTGGATAAAGAACTGTTATATTATCTCTATAGATATACAGCGCTTTCACAGTAAACCTTCTGAAAGAGTCAACACGCCTCTGTACTGCAGCACGCAAGAACACATCTAAAGAGAGACCCAAAGGCTCTCTTCCAACTTCTGTCACTGTGTGTCTGTTTTTTTGGTTTGGTTTCTGATACAGTAACATCAGGCATATTTGGACATATCTGAAAAATTAACTACTGCACTCAGAGAAGGAAACCTGCAGAGGACGGTAATCTGTAGACAGATGCAGGAGGGGAGGGCTGCTGTTGTATTTTTGCTGGGCTGAGTGGGGTCAGGATGGTCATACAGTCCAGAAGGACTGGACGTGAGGTGGAGGCCAGGTCTCCATTCAGCTCTACCTCCTTCACCAGGTTCCTGCTCTGTGGAGTGGTGCGCCACAACCCAGGTCCACGCAGGGCAGATGCTCCTCAGGTGTGCAATAGCCAGAGCTCTGCAAGTGGAAGAGGGACGTCCCATGGCCCCATGGTAGTTCAGCGTCCCCGAGACTTTTTAATGCCTTTAATTAATTACCCACAATAATGCTTTCCTTCTTAATTCCTTCCTCTGTTCCAGGTCCTTCACTTGCTGGTTCCACAATAGCTGTCTTTGGCCAAAGCCCTTCAACAGCTTCTGAGGCACATTGTGTGCATATGGCAGCACAGTCCCAAGCTCTGCTCTGGGACTCAGAGCTGCTGCAATGCCCTGGTATCGCTGCCCAACTTGTATAGACCCAGCCCAGCGTACAAATCACTATCATTAATTGGAGCAGAGAGACAGGTCAGGTAACTGAATCACACTCCCTCCTTCACAAGCAATCCCATGCGGTGGACGTCGTATGTTCTGCACCAAGACTTATCCTTTACCCTTCCTGCAAATGAAGCCTATTGCATTGCTGCAGTTTTGGTGGGAAACAGAAATTCCATTTCTTATCACGTCTGTCAAAGCAAGACACTCACGACCCTAGCCCGACACCAAACACACCTTGCTCACACGTAGTGCCAGTCTTCCCAGCTGGGCAAATACACTGCCCTGTCTTCGGATCGCATGGTGCTTCTCCACAGCTGCACCTCTGCTGGCAGTTCACCCCAAAGCTCCCAGGCTGACAAGCTGGTCAAAAGAAACCCAAAGACACGGTTAGTATAAGGAAGCATTTTGAAAACATTAGGAGGCACCACCACCAGCAATTTTAAACTGACCTGTGCTGGTACCAAGTGATCTATGTTAGCATCAGTGTCTCAGCGACTGGTGGTCTGTAATTAACTGCAACAGAGCTCTAGAAAATCTGTGTCTGAAGCTTTAAAAGGAACTATAGTTACCTGGACAAATGTTAGCTTTAGTAACTGGCCACAGCCTTGTGCCTCGACCTTTGCAAGCAGAGTGACAGCAGTTGCTAGGCTCCAGATATCAGTTTGGCTTCAGTGGGGAACTGCCAGCTCGTATCAACAACAAATGTACCCTTTGATTTGCAACTTCTGTATCTGAACATAAGTATCCTGAGTAACCTTTCCCATCCAAAGTGTACCTCCCAGGGAAGCATGCAGTGAGTACCTACATAAATGGCATTTTTCTCCATGAAACCCAGGTGGACATGGTTGTTTGCAGACTCCTGTCTCATGATCACACAAAACATCAGTAGGACAGCTGCACCTCAGTTTGCAACCAGCCCCATAAAAGCCAGGCGTGCACTCTGGAAAATGCAAGTAGACACAGAACATGTATAAGAAAAAGGAACAGTTAAGAAAACTGAACAAAAGTCAGACAATAATTTGGCAGAAATTTGCAGAAAATCTATTATAATGTACGTTTTAGAGGTGCTGATAACAAGTGTAAATACTTATTAAACACCTGCATGGACATTTCAAAGAGGTTACTGCTTAAATATAACCCAGAAACAGAGTGGCAGAATACTTAAGGATATATTCAATTACAACCATTACAGAATTACTCTTCTTATCTGTCTATACTTTCTGCTGCTCTCTGCCTTGGTGCAAAGCCAGTGCTGCGCGAGGGATGCTCCCTCTCCCCCAGAACCCAGCACATCACCAAGAATGCTAAAGATATTAAATATCGTCACTATTATTCTCCACCAAACCCCCCAGAACTAGCATCATAAGTCCGACACATTCCAGCCTGCCCAGAGAGGAATCTGAAGGGAGAATCTTTATTGCGTTACTCCATTACTGTCTGGAGAGAGCTACTGAGACATACAAACGTGAATGTGGAAGACAATTCTCTCTGAACTATCCCCAAAAACTACAAAGAATAAGTTGAATTCAAAGACTTGCAAATCTGAAGGAAAAGTAGCATTACTGAAACCGTTTACAAACAATCCTGCTGCCATAAAACACAGATTTTGTCACTTACTTACTGTCTGTGTGAAAAAAGGAAAGAACAAAAGTGAAAACTCCCACAATCTTCATTATTAAGGGTTGTATTAGAATTTGGTTTCTAGGTTTCTGTTGTCATTTGATCAGGCTAAAACTCCTGCATTCTTAAGCTGTATTCCCCTTGATGTCCCTGTAAGCCCTGTGATATCAGGCACTCATGGAGTTTGTTGTATGACAAACCACAGACAAAATAATTAGTAGAATATGAATATATTACGTAGCAGCAGCAGTCAAACAAAGCAGATGGGAGGAAGAATGAGAAATAATGCTAGGACAAAGGAATAAGCAGACATAGGGAATCTGGCTTTCTATTATACCTTTCTGACACTTTTTGCCATGATAACCAGGCTTGCAGGTGCAAGTCCCGTTCCTCGTGTTGCATTCCAGCGTGTGCTCTTTCACGCACTGACACTCCTCTGAGCAGCCAGTTCCAAAGGCCCACCTGGGACAGGCTGCAGCCAGATGAAAAGGAATCATTAGCTCTGTAATTATGCATGAGTTATTTGAAATTGCACAGTGATGCAGAAGCAACTGCTGCAAAAAGCAAAACGTTCATTTTACTTTCAGCAAATACATCCACATTCCTATGACAGTGTCTCTTAAAGTGTGGGTGTATAAAATATAGTTTACATGATTCCTTTATTAAGTAATTCATTTAATTTTAAGCCATATGAGGTAAATGCAAAAACCAGAAATGTTTCAAAGCAAACTTAGTTAAGTTTCTGAATGAAAAAATATTTGGATACACTCCAAGACAAAAGCTTTCATGAAAAAAAAAATCACAACTATTTTTCAATCTTGTACAGATTTTACGAACAAAACCCGTAAGTGCAAAGAAACTTGACCATGTCTTTTGTAACATTTTTGTTTTGATTCTTTTTATTCCCATTTAACATTTTGCCCTCATCCTGCCCCAACCAGCCCTGCTCCTCAGCTTCCACTCCAACCGTATCAACAGCCACTAACTAGCTCCAACCAGTCTTTAACCTCACCATCAACCCTAACGTTAACCTGCCTATCCCAACCCAACCCTACCTATAGTCCTCACCTTTGTGCATCAGTAAATCTCAGTCCTTATGGCAAAGATTAATTGCTAGAGGAAAAGATTAATGAAGTTTCTGGGGCTTCCCGGGACACGTCAAAAGTCAAGTCCTCCCGTTACTCCCAGCTCATGGCAGAACCCAAAGCCGCACTCATTTTATGTGTGATGTGGAATCTTTTTAAGACTGTTATGTTGTGCATGTGTTAAATAAACAGATCCAAAAAATTATGGGGACTTACTAAGATGGCAGAAGCGCCCGTAGAGCCCTGGGTCACACAGGCAGGCTCCATAGAGTCTATGGCAATAGCCGTTGTTGGCACAGTTGCACGGTTTGTTACAGTTCTTCCCAAAGAGGCCTTTCGGGCAACCTTTTGAGTGCACAAACACAGCAAGGCATCAGCTGTTAAGTGTTAAAACACAAACACCAAATCAGCTCTCTTTTAGTTGGCATGACAGAAAAGACCATGCTGACTTGTCGCTGACCTGGGGCTCTGCGCAACCCATCCTTACAAGGCACTTGCTTTTTCTCACCCTCTGTCTTGCTTATTATTTAAACAAAAGTCACTGCAAGGCAAGCCGTAGGGTTATAGTACATCTCGCACAATGGGGACTGTTCTCATTCGCGCACCTAAGATTTAGCACGCACAATTACATCTAGATAGAAACAAGGGGAAAGAAGTGGTGAGGTTTCAGGCACACGCTACAGCCGGCAAGACAAGGGGAGCCGTACCATCTTCACAGAGCTTGCCGTGCACGCCGGGCGGGCAGCGGCACTGCCCTGTGACAGGGTCGCAGGAGCCTCCGTTCTGGCACTTGCAAATGCTAGCACAGCCTCTGCCATACGTCCCCAGGGAGCAAGCTGCGGAGAAAGCAGGGAAGATGAATGGGCAAAGAAATCTTTTCCCTCTGCTAGAAATGAAATAAAATAAAGACTCCATCAAAACTGAGCAAGGAAAGAGTCTCTTTAGTCAAGTGGGCTCTAAACCAAATCATATTATTTTTATATAAGGTAATACACATCCATCTAATACTTACTAGATAATTTTAAAAGGACGCCTGAATTAATCAAGCTTACTTATGTGAAGTACTATGTGATGTATCCAAATTCTCCCCTGCATATGCTCCCCTCCACACAATACATGGGGCTCAAAAAACATTGCCTATAAAGTACAAAGCTTAAAAATCAGAGCACAATTTTGAATATTTGGACGTAAATATTTTAAGCATTTTTTTTTCTCTCCCAAATACTATTATAAAAATAACATCTTGTTTTTCTAACATAGTCCCTGAAATTCCCCAGACGATCACGGCAGAAATGGATCCACATCAGCACAGAATTCCATCCTAAAGCCCTCATCGCTCCAGTGCAAAACAAATTGTGAAATGAAGCCTTGCTCCACTGTTTGCAGCCTGAGCTAGCTGAGTAAATACAGTTGCTGGAGTCATCTGACTTAACTGACATTTTGTCAATGTACATTAAGAAATCTGACATTTCACATCAATTTCCATTCTGATTCTTTCATGCATTATTACTGAAATTTAGTTCCAATTTTCTCAACTATTTAGCTTACCCTAAACCCATGAACTATGCTGTATATTAAGAAAGTGAGATAAAAGAGTGAAAGCAGTCACATATGGCTAATTCATACAGATTATATATAGTATTTATCATTGTCAATGCCTGCTTCATTGGATTGCAGGTTTGGCTCAATAACGAAGTCCATTAAAGTTCTTTAAATTCCAGAGGCAAACTCCACCAGATTACATGCATAGGTATCTACTGTAAATACAGAGCAAAAATGTTGTTATTATTTATGAAGTGAACTAAAGAATTTGTATCCTGTCTTGAAATTTTTATAATCTATCCTGAACCACTAGAACACCATGAATAGAAGCAAGAATATCCTAATTCGAACTGTCTTAGGCAGATTAGAAAGTATCATTTTAATCCTCTTCTTTCCTATTCTCTCAGCTGTCCCCAGTGTTTACAAATCAAAGGCACGATTGGTCTCCCAAAATAACTATGGGCAGACCGTTGATTTCAATCATTTGCTGTTTTTTTTAGATTTCTGTCCTTGTGACGATGCCTTCTAAACAATCTTGATGGTGATTAACCTGAAGACTGCTGTCTACCGATGCTAAGTAATAATTCTTCATCGTCTCTTTGTCTCATCAGTGACAGCGCAGACTTTCTGAGTATGATGGGCCATCATGCCATACACCATGAAATGGAGGGACCCATCTCAAACATGCAGGAGACCTGCTATATGAAGTCTCAGGCAAGCAACAGACAAGTTTTGCCAAACTGCAGATGAAGAACAGCGTGTGGTACATCAAGAAATCACCACTCTATCTTTCCAGTTGGTTTTGATACATACTTCTGAATCAGAGAGATCTTCTGCCAGTAAGCAGGAATAAGGGGAGTAAAAAGCTATTACAGAGGGCACTGGCTGACTTGTCAAGAGAATTCTGAAAAATACAATTTCCAATAGTAAAAATTAACCATCCCAAGAAAATTATGTTAATAATAAAAAGAATGATAAGAAAAAAGACAGGCCCAAGTTTACCAACAAAAGGAGAAAAAAAAAAAAGGCAATATCTTGGGATGCTATAAAGGAACAATCAAGTCTAGCATCTATGTCCACCCAGATTGTCACACCACCTGCCAGGACAGACTTCTGAAAGTCAGTGAGGCAAGTTGTGCAGCAAAGCATGGCAGGCAAACCTTGGCACTTTTCAGCAGCAGAGTGAATAGGAATGAACACCAACACAAATACTTAGGAAGGGGTACTGTACTGTACTGCACTGGAGGGCAGAGATCTCGCTGTTTGAGGGTTCGTATTGTATACTGTAGCATCCCTTACAATTTCTATTTAATGTGCCACATTACAATAAAATTCTGATCTGCCTATGAGGCAGCTGTGCTCCTTAGAGAGCTTTACAGATTAAAAGTACAACAGGTTATTCCTATTTCCTACCTATCTGCAGTGTCACAGCACTAGGACAAAGTCCTTGCCTTTCAAACACACTGTACTCACTTTCATTGCAGATAATGCCGGTCCACCCGGGTGAGCAAACACAGCCACTGTGTTCACTGTTACATCTGCCTCCATTCAGACAATCCTCACAGCTCAAGCTACAGTCATTGCCAAAAGTGTTATCAAGGCAAACTGAAACGAAATATACAGAAGGCGTAGTAAGCATCCAGACAAAATAATTCCATAAGCTCTTACCTATTGTTCCAGATGCACAAGTGCAAGAAGGAACCTACATAACATTGACAGTCTGAAAAAAAAGTATTCACGTTGTTAGCGTTAATGTTGGTAGCGTTGCAATACCACTGATTCATCGCAAAAGACAGTCCCAAATGGAGATTCCCAAATTTTCCTCTTCAAATTGTAGACTCTAAATAAAATGAAAGCTGGGACTTTAGCTGGAATTTACTCCCTTAAATGCTGTAATTCCCCATCAAAGAGCACTTAAAATTACTTTTTAAAAGCAAATATTTTGCCTTCATAAAAAGTGAATTTGCACCTAATGCTTGATAATATTGTATATAATTAAAAGTATTTATTGGGAGAGAATCTCCTCCTTTTCTCCCTGCTAGGCTATCCTTTTTGTTCTTCTACTGCAGGAGGTGGATGCGGTGCCATTTAAGCATAGTTCAGTGATATTTTTAACAGCATAGTTTGAGTGTTATTCTAGGAAAACAAAGCATAATACACATTTATCACTTCCTTTTTTCTTCATGGACATGAAAAAAGGGCTAGTTTATATGGGAAAGCTTATATGAAAATGCATTCCTCCCTCACCTTCCCCACCCTCCTTTCCTCCCTTGCACCCGCAGATATGCGCAGCCTCATGTTCTCTCTTTGTGGGGTCTATTGAGAAAGGCATAGAAAATAAATGTTACTCTCTGCTAAAATACCTCGGTGACATTAAGATCCTATCCACACAGTTAGTTTATTGCCTTTGAGGCTTTATGGCTGTGGCTGGAGGCTTTTTGGAAGGGGATTTTGAACAACACCTGAAAGTGAGCTGGCAGATTATTTCAGCTAACAGTAAGTCAGCAGGTTGGTTGCTTTTCACCAGCAATTTTCTGTGTGAGGCCAGATTTCCTCTAGGTCTCAGCACCCAACTGTTCCTTTTTCTGAAGCTGAACAAATGCCCCAGCTTTCAGAGACATTCAGAATCCCAGTGCTCCCACTTGAAATGGGTTACAAACTCATACTTCAGGAGAAGAATACAGATTACCATTAAAAATGACATGCTTCTACATTAAAAAGTCATTCAATCTACAGAAAATAGGTAATTACTTACACCAGCTTATTGTTTAAAGCTGTATTTTTATAATATAGATAGCAGCACAAAAATATGTCTGGAAGTATAAGGAATAAATCAACATTTGGGAGGTAAAAGAACTTACTAAATCATTAAAAGTTTCATTCCTCCATCAATTTTTCCGAGAAACCCTCATGTGCTGCAAAGACTCAGCTTTAGAAAAAGTGCAGATGCTCAGCTATGACTGATAATACCCAAATTTATGTGACTAAACATAAATAAAACATACAAAAACTGGTCAATAAATATTTGATTGTGGTTTCTAGGCTTGATAATTTTGCCTGTGGTTATCTCATTCATCAGTTTCCCAATTGTTTATCAGTGTCGTTGACTCTGGCTGGATGCTATGTGATTTGGGAGGTCTTAACAGTTTTGTTCATAAAAATAAGTTAATTTTTTATTAAAGCCAAGACCAGTTCCCAATTTTTGCCTGTAGGGCACAGTCCTCGGATGACTAGAGCTCGTATAAAAATCACAGGACATTCATAACAAAAATAAGAAATCTCATTCCTCCCTGGTGACCCACCAGCACATGCTGCGCTCATCAGAAAGAAAGCACAGGGTTTCAACTCATAATACTCTTTAAGTGGTGAAGTTTCCACCTTCAGGTGGAAAGACCGAAGTCATGCAAAGCCCAGGTAGGGTGCAAAGCTGCTTTGCACCCAACTCCTGTGACTGTGTGTACTCATGTGCTCTCTTTGCCACCAGTTCTGCCGAGCCCTCGGCCAGCCTGAGCTCTACGTGAATAGGTCTGTGCTTTTCCTGGAGAACATGCCCAAAGCATCAAAAGGGACCTGAATCTCCAAGAGGGTTGTTTTTTTCCACAAACAAGAATGCAAATATCTTAAGCAAAAACCCCTCCAATTATTATAAAAGAGCTTGTAAACAGGCACACATGCCCCCACACCTCCCTTTCCTAGCTCTAGGAGAAAGGGAGCATTTCCCAAGGGTTTGTTCTCAGTAGAGCCGCTTTGTGGTCGATTTTGTGCATTGCAATAACCCACACAATCCTCTCACCCCCGGGATGAACACGATCTTTCTGTCTGTTGCCTCTGGGGCTTTGTGCATACACCCTGTGTTTCCAAGAAGCCTCCCATCCCTTGCTTGCTGTGCTGCTCACTTTTCCCATGCCTCCCTTCGCACTCCTCCCCGCCGCATTCAGGCAGCAGCAGCTGCGACCAGGGAGCCTTCCTGTTCTCCAAACATATCCGATTTGGGATGGGACATGTGGCAATGCCTCCTCCCCGCTGGCATGGAGGACAGACAGAAAGCAGGATTAATGCTCACCCTTCCTCTGCTCCTCCTGATGGCTTAAGCCCAGCCAGCCCAGCATCACTCTCGCCCCAAATCCTCTTTCCAAGACTATTCCCCGCATTTGCCACGATGGCTAAAAGTGACGCTTGTTCACTCACCGACCCTGTGCACCAGGGTGAGCTCTCCTCGCAGGTCTTCATCCTCATAGAGGGAAGCAAGCGCGTAGCGAAGGAGCTGGGGGGGACCTCTGAACTGCAGCCCCGGAGCCCCAGCGAACCCTGCGGCCTCCTCCACATCCATCTCCTCTCCACCTAGGGCTGACATACACACGTGCCATCAGGACCTGGCCCCGAGTCTTCCTCTGTGACACTTTCCTCCCATTTACATCTTGTTTTTCATTATGCTGATAGATTTTCCAGCTACACCCCTGTGCAGTCTGCACAGCAGTCACAGCCAATTCATTTTCTCATCTGTACTTATAATATATATATATATATCTGTGCTATCCAAAAAAGAGAAAAGGGGGGGTGGGAAATCTTTCCCTTTCCTTTCTTCTGGAAATAAACTCTGGTCCTGGAGAGTCCAAAAAAACATTAAACAGGGAGCTTAATTTTCCTCACTTGAAATTTGAAATTATTTTTAGTTAATGAAGATCATTAGCTTATTTTGGAGATGACAAATATAGAGTGAGGCTGGCTGTCCAATTTATTTTCAGAAAAACTAAAATTTGAGCCTTAAAATGATGGGAAATCAGTTGGCTTTCTTTTTGGAGTTGGTTAAAACATCAAACTCTTCCCAAGGTTTAGCAGGTGCTAAACTTGGTTATAAAATTAAGTTGCTAGGCTAAACTCTGTACTGGTTACACTGGCAGAAATCCAGAATCACACCACTGACTTTAGTGGAAAACTTGCCTTGGTTCATCAAAGCAGAATCTGGCTACCTTTTTTCCACAGGATGTTAAACTTCATCAAATAGTGCAAGAAAACTGTCAAAATAGTATTTATTTCTAAAACACGAGGTTTAGGTTTTCAAACATGTCCAGGGGATTAAGCGTTCGTCTCCCATTAATCTTTGGCAAAACCAAAAAATTACTTAACGATGAACCAAAGCAGAATCTGGCTACCTTTTTTCCACAGGATGTTAAACTTCATCAAATAGTGCAAGAAAACTGTCAAAATAGTATTTATTTCTAAAACACGAGGCTTAGGTTTTCAAACATGTCCAGGGGATTTAAGCATTCATCTCCCATTAAACTTTGGCAAAACCAAAAAATTACTTGACGATGAACTTGGGATCCACATGTTGCACATAGCTCTACCCTGGCCACATTCAGAGATGGATCCAGTTGGCCTCCCAAAATCCCAGGATCTGTGAAAATCTCAGTTGAATTCACATTTTAAATCAGTGGGAAACACTTTAATGTAAAAATAACTTACCAATGCAGGACCATCTGTTAACACCAAGCCTGTAACCCTCCTTACATGCACATTCGTACGACCCCAGAGAATTAACACAGAAATGGTCACAGTTGCCATTATCAAGATGACATTCATCCACATCTAGAAAAAACAGATATAAATGCTGATTAGGTGCAAGTGCCTCTGCTCAGAGAGTGCTCTCTGCACCTGGCTGCATTCAAAAAATTATTCTGCACGTAGGAAAACCTGATTTTCTTAGTACTTTGGGGCTCTCCGTTTCTCACTAGTACTGGAGATATTAAAACATTTCAGGGCAACATGGAACAGATTATTTCACCTATGTTTTTGTCTCAAGTGAAAACAGCTGCTTTAAGCAGTTAAGCTCAGTTGATCCTTTGGTTATTTCGAGGGCTCTCCTTTTGTAGAAGTAGTCTTTAACGCACATCAATATACAGTGTCCATGGAGAGAGGAGGAAAAGTTCCTCTCTGCTGGCTCGTCTCCCGCAGCCCCACTTTTCCCTGCTTGATGCTAGGTTATTACTGTATTCCAGTCTCAAAAAGTGGAAATTACACATTTGTAACACCTTATCAGCAAAGCTGGCATAGGTCACTGATTCTCTTATCAGGGAAATGCCCACAAAGCCCTGTGATGAGCTTTGACAGCATTTCTTCTACCTGCTGTTGTGCTTAGTTAGACTGAGCCACCAGTATCAAAGGACTTACCGTCGCAGGCACAGCCGTCGGCGTTCGGCTGGAACCCGGCTTTGCAGGCACACTCGTAGCCGCCCACACGGTTGATGCAGAATTGGGAGCAGCAGGACTCTCCAGTCTCACACTCGTCCAGCTCTGCAAGGAAGGGGCAGCTTGTTCAGCCCTTGGACACGGTCTGAGCTGCTGCCACAGTTTTGCTCGGCAGCTACTGCGCTATTCAGCACATGCCTTTCTATGTCTTCCTCTCCCTTCACCCACATAAAACCCACATTCATGTCTGAATCCTGATAATGGCTGTATTCTATCTTCTCCCACAGCAGCCAATATCCTCCATGTCCAGGGAGAGGCATCTTTTTTTCTGGAAGTCTTAGGTGCCACGAGGTGATTTACAAAACAGAAAACAACTAGGTCTCACCAGCCCACACATACCATCTATTTGTCAGTAATCTACATTTAACCATTTGCACTTCTGTACGCTCAACCTTTTTCAATGCAAACTAACAGTGAAACAAAGCTCTGATCCAACAACGCATTTCTGGACATCAGCAGCCTGCTAGGTGCAATTGTTGTTTTTGAGAACTAATTGCCCATTGCCTTATGCTGCCCTGTGTCCACCCGGAAATTGGTATCGTCGACACCGCTGTTCTGGTGATTAGATACGAGAACCGAGCTGTTATCTTTTCACTACAGGCTCTCAGCTGATCTCAGCCCTCGCAGCCTGCTGAGCGGGTCGGTGGCCATTCAAGGGCCACCTTGTCGATGCTGAGTCTGCAAAACGCTTTTGAACGTTACCCAGACGAGCAGCCACAGATGGGAAAGGTCAGTGTCTCAATTAACCTTGGAAGGAGTACCAACATTATTAGGAAACACCGACAGGAGAAAGAGGAGAAAGATAATGTAATTAATCAATCGAAGTGAGGAGGTCAGCACAAAAATGATTAATGCAGGTTATTTGAACACGGAGTGTTTTCCAGAAATGTCACAAGCCGAGGTCCTCTGCAGTACGCCAGACGATGCCTGGCTCTGGGGTCTAGCAACAGCCCCTTGTCTGTGTAGGAATGCGAAATGTGCATCCAACAAAAAGGAGATTTTTGCTCTTAAGAGCAGCTTTTCATGTCCTGAGCCTTGCCAAACCCTTCCACTGTGCTCTCACTTCCCTCGCTGTGGCCAGAGTAACTGCTTCCCTCTGAAATCTCCATAACAGGTCCCTGAGCTGGGGGGGGGGGCAGGAGGCTGCTCTGTCTCCTCTCATCCATACACAAACGAGACTGCGTAACCCATCCCATCCCTGCGAAGCTCTGGGTCCAAATCTGCCTCTCTGACCTTTTTTTCTTTTGCTTTTTAAGCTCCAGCATCAACCGCCCTTGCAGACCTCGGTGCTTCCCTCCTCCCCTGCTCCTTCCTCTCTCCTGCAGTTGGCTTTTTTCGTTGCAAAACTCCTCTTGTCTGTAATGCCTCTCACATTCATCAGAGCTCCCACTCTCTACCTCTCCTCATGTCTTACTACACTGCTCTGTGATGCCTGCTTTTTTTTTTTCCCCCTCTTCTTGGCTATTCTTGAAAATTTTAATGGCATAGTGACAGCAAGTCTAAACCAGAATGAGATACAGTTTGCATAGCAAAAGCTGTAAACAAACAAAAAAAATAATCACATCATAAAATCGTTTAAAACATGAAGGCATTTTTAAGCTCTTCTCTTGAAATAAAAACAAATCTAACTCTATTGCTTTCACTTCCTAAGTGAGACTTCTCTCAGCCAGAAGTGCAATCTCATCACTGTGCAAATCTGATGGAAATAGAGCAACTTCCATAACACAAAGTGGAGTTTGCGCATGAAGCACTTCAGAACAGCAGTGCTACCACTCCCAGCCAGAGCCAACCCTCTTCCCAGCCACCAGCTGAGGAAGGGAAAGAAAAAAATTCAGCCAAGTGATGCTTGGGCTGGACGCAATGAGATACGGCCACAGCAACTGGTGATGCACCAAAGTATCATCTTCCATTTGGGAGGCAGAACTCCTTCCCTTCATTAATTAATAATCCCAGCAAACATGCAGAGCAAGGCAAGCTGGGGCAGCGGCTGAGGAAGCGCCAGAGGACAGTATTAATTAAAACTTGTAGTAAAAGGGCAGGGGATGGGAAGGTATTTCCTTGAGTGACAGCTCTCCTGCAGGCTCCCCTTGCAGAGAGACCCACCACACCTCCTCCCTCCTCCTGCAGAGGTGCAGCATTCGCCATGAATTACCTGCGCATGTTTTGCCGTCAAAATCGAGGCGATAGCCGTCGTCACAGGAGCAGCGCGGCCCCGCAGTCGTGTGCTCACAGTGATGAGAGCAACCACCATTGTTGTCCTGGCAGCTATTGATAATTTCCATTTCGATGCCTTGCAGAGAAATAAATCAAAAGGATGTTAAAAAGCAAGCACAGGGGGACAGTCACCGGAGAATAAGCCTTCCGTAAAAAAGCATACATAAGCCGACTACTGTAGCAGGAAATATAAACTCAGCTCCCACACACACGCGAGAAGAGTGTGTTTTGGAATCACTGAACTTCAGGTATTTGTCTCCTTGTGTCACAACAGTGGATGCTCTCGACTTCGGTAACATGAAGCCAGCTCACCGTTTCAGCAGTCTGCCTGCTACGGGAGCATTCATGGGTTGCCTGAGATTTATGCTTTGTTTGAACCTAACAGTGAGTTCTGCCCTTGCCCCAGAGAAGGAAAGGAACCACTTGAGGAACCCAGGCGGTTCATCTCAACCCAGACTGCTTATGCTTTCCAAAAAGCAGCTTTTAGTTTTGTCTGCAAGTCTGCGAATGGGAGAGAGTTGGGTTCTGAAACATCCACCGAACACAAATGCCTTAAAATTTTCATAGCAGAGTCCTGCTGCCGAGCCTGACACCAAATCACAAAGCAAAACAATCTGCAGGTTTTGACCCTTGGACATCCCTTCAAGGGGGAACACAGCAGCTCCTCTGCTGAGACTTTGTCCCCCTACAATTAAGACAGGGTGGTGGTACGATGCCGTCACCAGCCCCCTTCGCACTGACAGACCACCCCACCCCCCTGCACTTGGTTGTGCTGGACAGTCCTCACAATATTTTGACCAGGTCCAGTGGAAACCCTCATAGAGGAAAGGGAACACCTGTCCATCTCATTCCCACCAAGGTACTTCATTAAACGATTTTTTTAGGATGAAAAGAAAATATAAGTTTATAAATTTATAAAGTTTCTCTTGAAGAATTAGCTGGATTGTCTTGTTACAGAGCTATTTAGAGAGGAATTAATTTCCCATACTATGTAGGAGAACTGAGAAACACCCTTCCTAAAGGAGCCATCGTACTGTCAGAAACACCCCAGCTCAGAGCTGTGGCCATCAGATCTGGTACAGAAGGATGGCATTTCCCCCCTGCTGTGGCTCCCCGCCCTGTGGCTCGTGGACACATCTGTGTCGGTGGCTCTGATCCTACCCCTTTTTGTGCCCGCAGGGAGCAACCTGCCTGCCAACCAGAAAAGCAAGTCTAGCTGGGAAAGGCTATAAATTAGGAGAACATATACGGAGGGCTACATCTCATGCGTGGTATGATTATTTGCACCAGGGAGAAGAAATCTAGTCTCCTGCCCAGTGTGTTAAGCTGGGATTTAGGAAACCCAGTGATCAAACATAGAATCTGACTTTATACACTATCTTCATCATTTACTTTGTCTCGGTTCTTCATCAGTAAAACTGGAATAACAGCTCTTCCCCATGCCGCTGGGGAAATGAAAGAATAAACAAAGATTGTAAATTGCTCAAACACTGGGATAATCCTGATCATAAATACATGCAGAATGTTTTTCTTGTTATTGTTTGCTCTGTAATAGTGTACATAAGGCACAGAGAATCACCATCCCCTGAGATTTGCTGAACATCAAGAAAAAATATTATCAGAAAGTCACAATGAAATCTAAGTGGTCTAAACCACTTTTTTATCCCCATAACAGATCATTTTATATCTATATATTAATTGCATTTTCTCTGCCATTGCACTACTCAGTTCCCCATCACCTATGAAATAAGTCTCCAGGATGTCTCTCACATATTTGGGTTTTGTTTTTAATGTATGTTAATGCTTTGAAACAGAATTTCATCCTTAATAAATATTTCTTACACACACATTCTTAAAGAAAGCATTCATTCTCTGGCATGCAGCATATTTTCCTAAGAAAATTCTGCTGAAAGTTCTTGCACAGTATTATTAGATTGAACGATCTTTGCCCACCTCTTTGCTAAAACAGGTCATGCTTTTGTCTGCATTCCAGTGAGCTTATGTTAGGTCCATAATAACACCAACTCTTCCACATCACCTCCTTTATTAATCTAAATTTGCCCTCAAGGACAGCCCAGGGATCACCTATCAACTAACAGCACTGGGAGTCAGTCCCCTTCTCAAGAAAAGTAGCGTTGATTAAGAAACCCTGCTTGCAAGAGGTAAGTATGTGAGGGAAGACAACAGAGCTCAGCATCGTTTTAGTTTGGGAAATTTTAGTTCAAATATTTTTTTCATCCCCAATCCTGCTTTTTTCCTTTTTTTATTTTAAAGTATCCACTTAACAGTGTCAATAATCTCAGGAGAAACATAAGTAAACCTAGACAGATAAAGACAAGAGCAGAATATCATGTTGGTTTTCTTTTGCATCAGATCCAGCATATAAAAAAATTGGGAGAAGGAGGGTAGGAATGAATACATTTCATAGAATAACAATATTTTGGTAGCTCTGCAATAGAATTCACCAGACTCTGCAGATAAACCGACAGGGCTATTTGCTCTTTGTAATGCAGTAATTAAGGTCTGTGAACACAGGCTTAGGAATGTATCAACCTGCAAAATGAGCAGTAGCAGAAGATGAAGAAAATAGTATTAAGATTGAGCTTTTGCATACATTTATTTTGCTGGGAGTGCTAATCCAACTGAATTAAAAATGAAGCATAGCCGTTTGCAGATAAGATAGCCTGAAATGCATAGATGTAAAAGTGTCACTTACGGTAGCACTGCTTTCCATCAGCCCCCAGCTCGAAGCCAGGGTTACAGACACAGGTGAAGGATCCCAGAGTGTTCACACAACGATGAGCACACCTGGCTCTCCCTTCTGCACACTCATCAATGTCTACAAAGCAGAGAGAAAGGCAAAGACATTCATTTGGATATTAAAATAAAAAATAATATTGCTCTACACGTACACGGCTGTATTTCCAAACATCCAGTGAAAAGAGCATCCTGATGTTAGTCTACAAATGACAGCATCTGATGAATCCAGGAACACTGAACTCACAACATTTTTCTCCAAAATAGTCTTTTTTTCTAAACACCGTTGACCTTGAACCTCTCAGTGTGAATATTACAATATCAAACATTATATTTATAGTATCAGCCAAAGCAACTTGTTTATTATTCCTGTTAAAAAAGCAATGGCAAAAGAAGTCACACGAAGAACTCAGAAGAAAGTCCTATCTCCCAGTACCCTAAAACTACCACTAGGTCCTCAATGCCATTATATTTAAATTAATGGAGCAGGAAATAGCTGATTATTTTCTGAATGTCAAATGATTTAGATTAAGTGGTGGCTGGGTTTCAGCGGGTACGATGGAGACAGATCTTCTCTGTCACATCCCTGAATCCTGCAGCTTCTACAGAAGTCCAGCAGGGAGGCACCTACTCCGATCAGAGGAGTTTCACCCCACCTCTAAGAAAAGAAAAAAGGTGAAGAGCTGTAGGTGGGGAGACTGTTTTTCACCCAGTCCTCTGTCAAGCAGTCTGCTCCTCAGCTTTACACTCGCTAGTCTGTATTTTGGAGTTAAATGTCACCAAAGGCACCCATCTTCCTAAAAACTTAGTGGAAGACCATGAAAATATTTTAAAGGAATAATAATTGGGAAAAAAAACAACAAAAGCTCACACTAAATACTGCTGCTGTGGAGCACAGCTGCAGAAAACACCAGCCTCCTTGCAAAGACTGGCATTATCTTAGACGTGGCAAACCCCTAACCGACCTCCTGCTCCTTCTCTTGTTCTGACATTTTGCTTGCAAAATACAGATTATTCATCGCAATGATTATAGTTCAGTCTCTCGCACACAGGAGAGAGCAGTCTGGTGCGCATCTCCTCACCTTTTACCACAGGAAACCACTTTCTAACATGTTTTTTTTCCTCTATATGTGCTGTAACCAGGGCCGTATTCATGGCCCCTTGTACCTGAACACAAGTAGCTCTACAAATGCCATCAGCCTGCTTGCAAAAAGAGGCCCCAGGCAGTGCAAAAACGACACACTGACTCATGAAAATTTCAGGATAAATGACAGCTTCTCTGAAGCAGCAATGTGAGTAGCTGCTGTTTAGAAAAAATGGGTTATTTCCCTTTTTCTGTAATTAATTGCTACTTTGCAAGTAAAGTATGTTGGTGAATGCTGTAAATGTTCTTTTCTCTTTTTCTGCTTTTTCATATCGAAAAATAAGAAGTTGAAAAACTGAACCGCAGCCACCATCCTGCACATATTTCTCCATATCTTGTAAATACAACTAATAGCTAAAGTATGGCACTTTAGTTGCCTTCTGTCTCCTTCTGGCTCGGTTTCCAAAGGGTCAAATACTAGCTTGAATTTTGCAGAAGATGTTGAATAATTTCTAGGAGAAAAAACAATACTTGTATATCCATAGTAAGACATGATGCTTAATGATTCAAAAGACTGTTGCCACAAGGTCAGGAAGAAAATTTGTTCCAATAGATAACATTGCAAGTTACCTAGTGCTTTAGTTTATACATAAATTAACAGAATTGTCAACGTGTATCCGAGATAAAATGAGTAACATGCTGACCCTAGTATTAAACCCATTGCTGTTTCCATCTATTAATCATAGGTGGCTTAGACAGGTGTACTCTTCGCTGGGTCAAAAACTGGCTGGACGGCCGGGCCCAGAGAGTTGTGGTGAATGGAGTTCAATCCCGTTGGCGGCCAGTCACGAGCGGTGTTCCCCAGGGCTCAGTTTTGGGGCCGGTCTTGTTCAATATCTTTATCAATGATCTGGACGAGGGGATCGAGTGCACCCTCAGTAAGTTTGCAGACGACACCAAGTTGGGCGGGAGTGTTGATCTGCTCGAGGGTAGGAAGGCTCTGCAGAGGGACCTGGACAGGCTGGATCGATGGGCCGAGGCCAACTGGATGAGATTCAACAAGGCCAAGTGCCGGGTCCTGCACTTCGGCCACAACAACCCCATGCAGCGCTACAGGCTTGGGGAAGAGTGGCTGGAAAGCTGCCTGGGGGAAAAGGACCTGGGGGTGCAGGTCGACAGCCGGCTGAACATGAGCCGGCAGTGTGCCCAGGCGGCCAAGAAGGCCAATGGCATCCTGGCCTGTATCAGAAATAGTGTGGCCAGCAGGAGCAGGGAAGTGATCGTGCCCCTGTACTCGGCACTGGTCAGGCCGCACCTCGAATACTGTGTTCAGTTTTGGGCCCCTCACTACAAGAAGGACATTGAGATGTTGGAGCGTGTCCAGAGAAGGGCAACGAAGCCGGTGAAGGGTCTGGAGAACAAGTCTT